AAAACATTAAAAATCTTACCATTCGAAATCTTGTCTGGTAGTATATATATATATATATATATATATATATATATATATAAAATATTTGATATATTAATATTTGTGAAAACATTCAGTTTAGCAAATTTTAAATTGAGCTTTTTGGGTTAATTTTATTACTTTTTTTAACAACACATTTAAAAGTTGCTCTAAAATGTCATGCTACTATTACTGCTACTACTACTAATAATATTATATATGTTAAAAAAAAAAAAAAAACTTAATATATTATTATAACTAAACATGCTTAAAATAGAATAACAATAATTACTATTACCATTTTTATTATTAATATATTTTTTATATTATTTATAACCATGGCCGGATTTACCATTAGGCTTGACTGGGCTGCAGCCCATGAACCCCGCCTTTACCCATTTACGTTTGTTTGATTTGTTTAGTTATATGCCAGTCAAAAATTATTAGCCGCATTTCCACTGCGCACTCAAGGGTGAACAGCTTCCAACTACAACCTTCGAGGCCATAATCAAACTGATATTTATGATTCTTTCACACAGAAGAAAGACACACGTATTGAATTAATTTAATCACTCAGTCACTTTAACAACCTCAGTTGTCACATTTTTAAAACCTGTCCTGTTGCTACATTTTGGTGTGCGGCTTCACAGGCGCAAGCAGCAAGTTAAACAGGAAGTAATAGAATCTGTTACTTAAGCGAGAGAAAAAACCCACAAACTTCCTGTTTTCAAGACGGTACTGATTTACAGGCAGCTGAGTCAGCTTTGTCTTCTTGGCTGCATCACTTCAGTCATACTTTATGTAAACTTCGGAAGTGTTGATATGGTTAATTACAACTACTTTAAATTGACTAAAACTGAAACAAAAATAAAAGCTATTTAAAACAAAAATTCATAAAAAAATTAACCTTAATGTTAACATTAACCCTATTTCCCATCTTACCCAGCCTCAGTAGTGCCATTCCCGCCTGGATGATGCCACACAGTAGTGTGAGCACCACTGCAAACACAGGATCTCCACCGATATACGCCGAACACAGCAGCGACATGATGGCCGTTGGGCCCAGCGTGATGTCTTTAGATGTGCCAAATATACAGTAGATGAAACCACCCATGAACGCAGAATACAGGCCATACTGGAAAACAAATAAACAGTGTGTCAAGAAAACCTCCCTCAGTCTCAGACTGTGGAAGAACGTGAATGTTCTTACCTGCACAGGTAAACCAGCCACTTCCGCGTAGGCCAGAGCCTGAGGAACCGCCGTCAACCCCACCGTCAGACCGGCGATCAGGTCCATCTTCAGCCAGGTCAGGTTATACCCCGGGAGCCAGGTGAGTATGGGAAAACAAGAGCGCAGGGCGGCACAGCAGCGGATACCTGTCACCCGCTCCATCAGAAGATCCCAGATCTGCTGACCTTCAGGTCCACCAAAACACCATCAGTTAAGGATCGTGAAAAGAGCTGTAGTGCTTCATCCAGGATGTCGAACGCCACTCAGATGGTGTGGACAAACAAGATAATGGGAAGGGTGGAGCTGACAAGCTCTTCTTGGCCGTATGCTAGTTAAAACCTTAAGATCCAAAAAGCTGCTTCTTGCTTCTCCATAAGTTTTGTTGTTGTTGTTGTTGTTGAAAGTATATCTGTGGAGAATTCAACACCACTAGTTAGAAAAACTATAAACCTAAAACTACAAGACAGCATGACTGCAAGCTATAAAACACATGATCATGAGATTCAAACACTGCTGATTCAAACACTCAAATCACTTGTTCACCCTGAACCACCCAGGCCACACCCTGAAATACACCAAAATAATACATGATATTTTGCCTAAAGGAAATTAAGCCTGATTTTGGTATAAACAATGCATTACCACTGGGACATTATTTTAATAAACCATGCATCCAGTTACATTCTCATTAAGTTAATAAAGTAGTAAGAAATATTCTGTTCATAAACATTTTTTAAATTTAAATTAGTATGAATTTAAACAGCAGCACAAAAATATCTAATGTCACGTATAAATATATTAAAATTAAAACAACATTTTATTTATTTATGCATTACAGAAATGAGAAATGCTAAAAAAAAACTTGTATTGATCTTAAAACCCCCTTACAAATGACTAAAATGACTAATTCTAGTATAAATTCATTAAACGTATAAATAATAAATCAACATATTTGTTTTATTTTATTTTTACAATACAGTAACAAGATACAGTGTAAAATGCAAAGAAAAAAACACCCTTAAAATGACTAACCTAATATATAAATATTTTCCAATAAAAACACTACATTTTATTTGTTTGTTTATTATTATTATTATTATTATTATTATTATTTTGTATTACAATAACGAGATACAAAACGCAAAATGCCTAAAATACCCTTATATCTGATTAGGTCAAAGTTTTGAAAGGGTCTCATGACCTGAGTACACAGTGCAATGTAAATCTAATCTAAATAATAATAATAATAATATATGTTAGATAACTGTATTTACAAACCAAACTGAAAGTTGAGATCAATGATAATAGGCACAATGTGAATTCAAGTTAAAGATCAAACCTCAGAGAAGCCTTTGAGCCTCGTGTTTCATCGGAGTTCAAACATTCCGCTGCAGTATTCTCAATATTTACACCAAACATAAAGATACAATGAAACATTTGAGCAATCAGTGCGACTCTGACGTGTAGCGCGGTTTGAACAGCAGCAGCCCTTTTGTGGCGTCAGCAGCGCCGCGCGACGCGATTGGCTGAGGCTTCGCGTCAGCTGATCGCGGTCATGTGATGGATTCACATGGCGGAAGTTTGTCTCGCTGAGTGTAAACAAAGTAAAGACTTTTCCATTTGCCTTAGTAACATTTTTGGAGGCAAATGACACTAAAATGTCGTTTCTGTTCGCGTGGACTTTGTTGGGTCTTCTGGTTTGTTGTGATGTAGGAGAGTGCAGAAGAAGAAATGTGCTTCTCATTATTGGTGTGTAGTAAAACAATCATGTGTTTTTATAAATACTGATTTGACAGAATAATTCATTTATACTGTTACGTCTGTGTTGTTGTTATGTTGTATTTAGGTTGTTTTGATGCTTTTATTGTTATGTTGTATTTAGGTTGTTGTTATGTTTGTGTTATGTTGTATTTAGGTTGTTTTGATGTTTGTTGTGTTGTATTTAGGTTGTTTTGATGTTTCTATTGTTATTATGTTGTATTTAGGTTGTTGTTATGTAACATTCACAGTAATATTAAAAAATTGCATGCATAGATCTTCACAAATGTTCTGTTTGATTTCGAAGGTGTCGGCCTGGTTCTTCAAGAACTACGGGATGCGGGATTTGAAAATGACACTCTGGTGATCTACAGCTCGGATAACGGAATTCCATTTCCCAACGGTCGCACTAACCTGTATGGCTCAGGTGTGAAGGAACCCATGCTGGTCTCCTCACCTGAACACCGGCAGCGTTGGGGACAGGTTAGCCAGGCTTACGTCAGTCTGCTGGGTAAGAGCCAATCAACAGCTTGATTACTTGACATCAGGAATGTGTAAATAAACAAATGTGCACAGCACAAAGTCTCTCATGGGCTTGAGTTGTACTGTAAATGCTTTTAACCACTAGATGGCGCTGTACACCTATGTTTAAGAAAACACTGCACCCTGATGCACTTGTTTCTGTGACTGAGGCCAGAGCAATACTGTTACTGAATGGTAGATTTGTTTAAGAATACATCTGTATAATAATTATTTGTATCGGAATTTATAAATATTTTTTACAAATAGCCAGTTATTTGTATCCCTCTGAAACACAAAATTTCACTCCTGCTGCTTTTGAAGCTCATTTATGTATTTTAGACAAAATGAGTCAACAACTCTCTCCTAAGCTACAAATTTAGGTCAATAAAAAAAAAACTATAATAATGTACAATAATTTCTTTTTGTATGATAATGAAATGCGCCATATTATTGCTGCACCTTTTTGTGCTTGCTTCTGTTTTTGAGTTTAGATGGTATACTATAACTTATGGTATACTATATCTTTCTACCCAATGACAGATTGTTTTCAACGTAGTGTATGTGTACGACAATTTCCTTTTCTACTAATAGCGTGTTTTTCGTACAGATTTGGGGAAATAGCTCTCACTATTACAACTTTTTGCTCTTGTTTTTGTCTTTGAGTCCAGATAATCGTACAGCTATCTTTCTACTGAATGACATCGTTTCCAAACTAATTTATGCGAACGAAAAATTACATCTCACTATTATACCTTTTTGCACTCGTTTTTAAGTCTAGATAATAGTACAGATATATTTCTACCGTACAACAAATTGTTACCAATGCAGCATATGCGTATGGCAATTTTTTTTCTATTTGTACGAAACGCAAGATGTTCGTACTACATAAAAAAAAATGGCATCCCTTATTAGTGCACATTTTTGCACTTGATTCTGTTTAAGATCATTTCTTTCTGTTTACCGACAGATTATTACCAATGTAACAACATTTTCTTTCTATTTGTACGAATCACAAGTTGTTCATACAATATAAAAAATTGCGTCCCTCACTATTGCACCGTTTCACGCTTGATTCTATGTTTAAGGTCATATCTTTATATTCACACACAGATTATTGCCAGTGTAATGACATTTTCTATTTTTACCACTTGTGAGTTAATTGTATGACACTGTAAAACAGCATCTCTCACTTTTTTCCCCAGACATCACTCCCACCATACTGGACTGGTTTTCTTTGCCATATCCGTCGTACAGTCTCTCAGGGGGCTGTCCGATTGAGTTGACGGGTCGGTCTCTTCTCCCGGCCCTAATCTCAGAACCGTCCTGGGTCACCGTCTACGCCAGCCAGAGTCTCCATGAGGTCACTATGTTTTACCCAATGCGCACCATCCACCAGGGCCGCTACCGGCTCCTGCACAACATGCACTACCGCATGCCCTTCCCTATAGACCAGGACTTCTATGTGTCCCCTACCTTCCAGGATCTGTTAAACCGGACTCATTCAGGCCAGCCCACAGGCTGGTTCAAGACTCTAAACGAGTATTACTACCGGGAGAGGTGGGAGCTGTTTGACATCCAGTCAGATCTGACGGAAAGGCGGAACCTAGCTGGTGATCGGGCCTACGCCCCGGTTTTGGAGAGCCTGAGGGATCAGCTGCTGAAGTGGCAGTGGCAAACGGAGGATCCGTGGGTGTGCGAGCCGGATGCGGTCCTCGAGACCAAGCCTGAACCGCAGTGCAGACTACTGTACTATGGACTATGAGTGCCTAAAACTTAAGAGGAAACTGTATAAACTTTAATCTTTTCATGCTTCAGGTTCACTGTTTAAATGGTTTAATATGAGATCTGTAAGATTGTATTTGTAGTTTTTATATTGAAAATGTTTTTAACAACTAAAAGTTAACATTATCGCATCTCTCTTTTAAATCTATTTTCTTTATATTTGAAAATATTTGATCATTTTTGATTTGGCACTGGTGTGTTTTCATTACTAGTTTTATTTGTCATAGATATTTATTTACTTAATCATTAATTTAATACACTTTTATATACGTCATCTCAGATACCTGTTGTTCTCAGGAACAACATTTCAAAATTTCATTTGTGTATTTAATTATTTGTATTATTAATAATGTTGTCATGTCATCATATAAGAATATTTTAATGATAATAATAATAATATGTTATTATTATTATACACATTTTGGCTTCTTGTCATCAGATATCTAGGGAACTCAAAATTATTTTTTTTGTATTTTTGTATTAATAATAATAACAATATAATACAACATTGTTATCCTACATTTTTTTATAATATTTAATAATAATTATATACATTACTATTTGGCTTCTTAAATGTCAACTCAGATACCTAAGGAACTAGATTTCAAAATAATATTTTTGCATTTGATTGTTTTTCTGATTAACTCAAGTTTTTTAAAGCTGTCTGAAATACTATATTGAAATTGCTCTCTCATTTAAATTATTTAGAAATCTGTCAACGTGGTTAAACCGCGTCATGTTTACCCAAAGGTGTAATTATAGAGAAGTCAACATTTTAAATCACTTATTAATGAGACTTCATTTTCAGGTACTACGCACTTAGATTTCCTTTTCTTCTATTCTATAGCAATTATTTAAAAAATATTGGATCCTGTTATTCTCTGGTTCATGCGTATGTGCGTCTTTACGCACGGGATTTTCTCTTTTCTAATTTGCGCTGTGACGCCAGAAAGACGTTTATTGATCAATATAGACAGGTTCGGTGACAGAGAAACAATATTAACCCATCACAAATCACATCTACCTGACGTTAAAGGCTCCCCAGCCGTCTCCAAACGGGCAAAGACGCGCAAATTAATCCTATTGGCCGGAAATATGAATCATCTAGTGGGGAATGACGAACGAGATCACGACTCCAAGGGGTCTATATAAACTCCAGATTTGGACAACATCAATCCAAAAGCTACGAGGCATCACAGATCACAACACACGCGTTTAGGTGAAGTGCGCAATGGAGAGGTCCGTCAGATCCGTGCTGGTGTTCGTGGCTGTTTCCATCCTCATCTCGAGCCATCCTACAGACGCCTGGTACAAGCAGTCCACCGGGCCGAGCTACTATTCCGTCGGGAGAGCCTCGGGTTTGCTGTCCGGGATCCGGAGGTCGCCGTATATGCGCCGATCTGAGACAGAATCAGAGCAGGACAGCAGCGAGACCCCCGGCGTCTCCAACAGCGTGATGCCCGACTTCAGCAGCAGACAAACTCCAGTCCTTAAAAACATGGTAAATTCTATTTTATTTGATGAAAACACACACACACACACACATATATATATATATATATATATATGAAGAGTTCCAGTGCAAAAGCCTCTAAAAGCCATCTTGGTCAAAAATGAGATAATGATACTGAGTGAATGTTCTCCACACATAGTATATGTTCATCAAGTACTTTCACTTTAAATGCGCTAAAATCCCATCCTCAACCCATTCAGAAGTACCAGTACTTACATGGAAACCTATACATAGTAGCCAGAAAGAAATGCTAATTTTAAAGAAAACCGTCAGACGTACTTAAAGGCTTTTGCATCTGAACACTTCACACATATATATATATATATATATATATATATAAAAAAGAAAAAATTGTATACACATTATTTTATTAAAAGTTTCTAAAAATTATTTAAATAAAATTAAAAATATTTTATAACGAAATTTTATTTTTATTAATAAACATTATATAATGCTTAATTTACTCAGCATTCAAATACATATATGTGTGTGTGTGAACTTATAAAATCAAAGTTTCATGATTTTTCTTTATATTTGCTAAACTTTTTACATAACTTATTACTAACGTGATCAGTTTACAATGCAATACAAATCATACTTGATGTGTACTCAAATATCAATATATATATATATGCAGAACATTTATGAAAATATTAATTACATGAATGTATATTCAAATGGTCTATATATGTTTGAATGCACATGAATACACATTAATAACCCTATAAAAGCATAAAAAAACAAAAAGGTTTCCAGGATTCTAAAATTCTCTTACAGATGAAAAGGTTGTTAAAACATTAAAACCCATATAACTGTATAATTTAGTTGCTGTCTACATCCTTTGAAATCATGAAACGATAACTATTTAGCAGGGACAAAAATTGGCATATATATATATATATATATATATATCAAAAGAAAAATAGGGCCAATTCAAGCACAGAAAAAGCTCATTATATTGAAGAATTTTACATTAAAACTGTATTCGAGTCAGATTACATGTAGACATTATGATATTCTTTATTTCTGATTTTGTTTTCTTTTGAAAAGAAAAAAAAACATTTATGAACGACGTAAACGTCAATTCAGAAATCAATCAGAATCATAACTTCCATTAACCTTTACCGTGCCGTTTCCCCCTCAGGCCATCTGCGTAAAGGACGTTTCTCCAAACCTACAGAGCTGCGAGCTGGTTGAAGACGGTTCGAGCACATTTCGGTGCAAAGCAGACGTGTTTCTCTCGCTCGATTCGCTGGACTGCTTCGGCTCCTGAGCGGAACCCGTCTCTCTCTCTCTCTCTCCCTCCCGACCCGAACATCTCTTCCATTTCAGGAGTATTTACAGCCAAGGCAGGGAGGCGAGGCGCGCTGTTGACATTGAATGTTTACTTGATTTACACCAGGGATGTTCAGCGCTGCTCCTAAAGATATGCTTTCCTGCAAAGTTTAGTTCTGTATCAATAATAATCATTTTCATTCTCATTGATATTGTAAATCCATGCAACTTATTGAGGTCTGTGAATGTGCGAGACTTCCCATTCATTAGTCGCTATAGGTAAATACCAGGAACGGCCCGGGAAGAATGAAAAAAAGTGCTGTAAACGGTAAAAACGGTATGCGATACAACCCCATATGTTTATAATTACGATACTGCATTAAAATAATATGATAAGATATGCAAGTTTGCAATGTCAAGCAGCATAACTAGCTGTTGTACCGCTCAAAAATAACCGGAAATAAGTTTGAAATGGTTTTGTGATACACACAAACTCAAGTGAAATTGGGCACCAATAGGCCTACATTAAAATATACACTAAAGAGATTGATATTAGTTTAGTGTATTGGAAATGCTATAAGTGAAGTCAAACCGAATTCAAATCACTTCCAGTGTGAACACACTTAGTTTCAGCTATATTTTGCAGGAAAACAGATCTCGGAGAGAGCAACTCTGGATCACACAATGTGAAGTTAGCGGCTTTAAATATATAAATGGAAAAATACAAAATGGTGGTATTTTCTGTTCAATCTGTTCTCCTCTGCGTCCAACCAGTCTCCTGTACCTAGACTTTCAGATGTATTAAATGTTTTCTCCTTGAGGATGGTGTCCATGACGACCTGGAAAACTACCTGTACATTGGAGGTGTCGGTCGCTGTGGTGAAGTGGTGGTAGATGAGTTTGCTGGGTGTCGTGTTGAGAGACACAAACATTGCGGCGATGAACCGGGCGGCAGCATCTACGTCACAGTCAGCTCCTGTGAACAAAATCACAGGGAGATGTTTGTGAAAAAAGTGTCTTGTGCTCACCAAATGCATTTATTTGATCGAAAATATAGTAAAAACATGTAAATATTATTACAATTTAAATGAATGGTTTTCTATTTGAATATATTGTAACATGTAATTTATTCCTCTGATGCAAAGCTGAATTTTCAGCATTATTTCTCCAGTCTTCAGTGTCACATGATCCTTCAGAAATACTTCTAATATGCTGATTTGCTGCTCCAGAAACATTTATTATTATCAATGTTGAAAACAGTTTTTGCTGCTTAATATTTTCTGAAAACTGTGATACATTTTTACACTAAGTTCAACAGCATTTATTTGAAGTAGAAATATTTTGTAACATTATAAATGCCTTTACTGTCACTTTCGATCAATTTTATGTGTTCATGCTGAATAAAAGTAATAATTTATATTTATTATATATTAATATATTACCGTTTGGATATATAAAATATTTATGTAAAATATGCATATGTATTAAAAATACAATTGTTATAATTACAAAAAAATAAAAAATTATAGGTTGTACTATCTTGCAGATAGTATGCATTATATATATATATACTTCAGAGAAGGTGAAATATAAATATTTTCCTTTGCATGGGTGCAAAAGTAATTTCTCCAAGGAATATATAAGCTATAAATCAGTTTCAAAACGTATATCAACATGAATCCAGTTCAATAACAACTGGTTTGAAAAACAAAACAGGAGACTGCCACAAAAACATATGAATTTCTCAATGATGAATTATGCATTAAAAGGAAACCCTGTATCAGAGAGAAGAAAGGCGAAGTGAAAGTAATTGACGTTTTCTCCATAAAAAAAAAAAGCTAACCAAACAAATGAAGTGAGAGTCTATGAATATCTGACGAGATCTGCTCCAAACTGCAAGATTGATGAATGGGATTAATCTCTAAATCTTCAATTTACATTTGCATGATGCATGTACAGTACTTCTGGGTCTATCTGAATTAACAGGTGAAATGTAGTTGTGAAAAGGTTTTATTGTAATCTTCTATGAAGTGGGATTAACTTTGTCATATACAAGTGTCAGGGAGGCAGCGGGAGGAGGGGAGAGCGAAGACAATGTCATGCAAGAAATTTCCAGCCTCATCCATCTTGACCTTTTCTCCCTGTGGCAAAAACTACAGGATCCATTCCAGCTGATTAAACGGCCAAACTACAAACCCAAGCCGACATGGTGGATTCAGTCTTAATGGAAGGACAGTGCTACAGGACGAAAGAAAAGACAAAAGGATGAAAGAAAGAAAGAAGCAAAGAAAGTAAGCAAACAAATGAAAGTGAACAAACATAAGAATACAAACAACTAAAATAAAGAAATAGCATATAAATGAATAAAACAAGCAAGAGAGAAGACAAAAGGGAATGAAAAAAGCAAAAAACAAAACAAATGAAAGAACAAAATCAAGGAAAATGGACAAATAAATGACAAAGATACAAACAAACAAAAAAGAAAGAACTAACAGAAGGAAAATAAACAAGTAAGGTTAAATTAGTCTAAGTCTTTCTTTGGCCTGTGCTCTGGAAGTGATCTGTTAAATCTAATCAACTTTAATTACTAAAACTAAAACTGAAACTAAACTATATAAAAACTAAATAGAAATGTGTTCACAAAATAAAAACTAAACTAAAACTAACAAAATTATTAATGAAACTAATAAAAACGAAACTAAATTTTATTGCAAATTTGAAAACGATATTAAAATAAAACTAATTTAAAAATCTAAAACTATAATAACCTTGGTCTCCAGCAACATTGTTGTTGTTATATATATATATATATATTTTAAAGAATTCTCTTCAGCTCACCAAGGCTGCATTTATTTGATCCAAAGTACAGCAAAAAGTCAAATGTTGAAATATTTTTACTATTTAAAATTTAAACTTTCTATTTTAATAGATTTTAAAATGTCATTTATTCCTGTGATCATACATAGCTAAATTTTCAGCATCATTACTCCAGTCTTCAGTGTCACATGATCCTTCAGAAATCATTCTAATATGCTGATATGCTGATTATCAATATTTAAAACCGTTGAGTAATTTTTTTTTCAGGATTTTTTGAATAGAAAGATCCAAAGATCAGCATTTATCTGAAATAAAAAGCTTTTGTAACATTATACACTATTCCATTCAGTATCATTTTTATTAATTTTTTGGGAAAGAAATTATAGAAATTAATACTTTTATTTAGCAAGGATGCTTAAAATTGATCAAAAGTGATGATAAAGGCATTTATAATGTTACAAAAGATTTCTATTTCAGATAAATAGTGTTCATATCGATATCGGAATTATATCGTATCGACCGAAATGAAGAAATATATCGTGATATCAATTTTGGCCATATCGTCCAGCCCTAAAGTGACTAGAAGAAAAACAAAACAATTAAAAAATAATGAACAAACAAGAAAGAATAAACTGGAAAAAAGAAAATGAACAAATAAAATAGAAAAGAAAAATTCAAGGACTGAGTGAACGAAAGAACAAATAAAAAAGAGAAAGAATAAACTAATGAATGAAAAAAACAAGAACAAAAAAAAACAAATGAATGAAAAAGAAAGAACAAACAAACAAATAAAAAAGAACAAAAATAAATAAATGATTAAAAGAAAAACACAACTGAAAAAGAATAAACAAATGAACTGGGAACAAAAAGAGAATGAAACAAACAAAAGAACACAGCGAGAGAATGAACAACAAAAGAGAATGAACAAAAACAAATTACCAAAAGAGAAAGAATTAATAAACAAGAACAAACAAAAGAATGAACTAAGAAAAGAAAAAGACAACTTAAATAGAATGAACAAACAAACAATGAAAGAATAAACTGGGAAAATAAGATGAACTAACGAAGGACAAGGAACAAAAGAGAAGAAATGAATGAGCAAAACAAGAACAAAGGAATGAACGAAACAAACAAAAATGAAATCAAGAACAAACAATTGAATGAAAGAAAAAAGGAAAAGAACAAATAAAAGTAGATGAATGAACCACACAAATGCTAAAAATGAATGGAAGTCAAACGAACGAAAGAACAAAAAGAAACAAGCAAACAAAAGAAAGTGAACTATCAAATGAATGAAACAAACTAAATAAGAGAACAAACCAATAAAAGAAAGAATGCATTTGGGAGAAGTAGAAGATAGAAATGCTTGCCAATCCTGAGCTTTAATAAAGGACATGAACGAACAAATATAACTTTGCGAGCAGCTGAAGTAAATAATACACTTTCTTTCAGAGAAAGTAAACACGATTCATGTGTAATCATAGATCCGTCTCTCACCTCTGAACTGGGGAAGGTAATGCCGCAGATGACGCCCGGAGTGGAGAATCTTCTCTTGGAAAAGATCAATCTTGTTCATGAATAATATCTGCAAAACAAGAAGAGAGACTTACACGCCACGCTGGATTGAGACGGGCAAAACCCATCAATCAATTGCTCTGTAAAATCAGCCATTTAGGACTAGAATTGATTAGTCAATTACAAAAGCTATAGAAAGTCTCCAAGAAGTAAGTTGTGTGTGTGGTTACAATGACCAACTTGACAAAAAGAGATTATAAAAGGAATAGTTTGACCAAAAATGTAAATTTACTGAAGATGTAGATGAGTTTGTTTCTATATCAGAATAGAGTTGGAGAAATTTAGCATCACATCACTTGCTCACCAATGCAGTGGATGGGTGCCGTCAGAATGAGAGTCCAAACATCACAATAATCCACACCACACCAGTCCATCAGTTAATGTCTTGTGAAGTGAAAAGCTGCATATTTGCTGTTTGGACTCTCACTCCGACGGCACCCATTCACTGCAGAGGATCAATTGGTGAGCAAGTGATGTGATGCTAAATTTTTCCAAATCTGATGAAGAAACAAACTCAGCTACATCTTGGATGGCTTGAGGGTGAGTACATTTTCAGCAAATGTTCATTTATGGATGCACTCTTCCTTTTATACCACAATGTCCACAAAAGATGACAGAAAGAGAGAAAAAAAACGGCGAGTTCGGCTCAGTATAATGGCTTAATTAACAACTTAGTCCAGTGATGATTTTGCCCAGCGTTTCAAATCAACACAGTATGACTAACGTGGCTATAAAACGCATCTTAACAAGGGCAATTAGCGCACCTCATCACACGGAAAGAGGTTTACGGAGGGCGTACAATAAATAGACAGACAACAAGCAGACCACCGTCACCCACATGGACAACCTAAATTATGCCTGCTAGTTTAATTACCAAACGACATGGGCAATTATAACAGAGTCTGGGCTAACTGATGACTTGGGCTGTAATTACGATGGAAGATGGTATGTCTGGAGGCGAGGTTACCAAAGCAAGCTACGATGAATGAAACCACAAAGAGTGCCGTCTAAACGAGTGTAGACTCTTTCATCAGGTGACTGCAAAACCATGAGTCGTAAAACTGAGTTTATAACGAGATGGAGGTCCAGAACTTGAGAAGAACTCACTGATACTGGTCAAACCGGTGACGTAAAGTTAATGTCAATGTAAAAACGACTTTGGTAACATGGTGTATTTTAGAGCAAAACTGTAGTGAAAACTAGCCTATGAGAGGATGGAGGGGAGGGGCTAAAAATGAGAGGACTTGATGATGTCAGCAGAAATGGAAAGTCATTTCAGAGGCAAATTATCATCACAAAAGATTACTTGTTTATTTTTATTACACTCTATATATATTTTAATAGTTTTCAGTAAATGCAAACTTACTTAAACTTGATAAATAAAATAAACTAAAATGAAAATATTTTGCAAGGCACACTTAAAAACAAAACTTGTGCATGTGTGCTCAAATGACCTTTTTTTGGTCACATATGTTGGGCGTTTCGCGTCGTCTCTTGATCGACGACACTGACCTCCTCTTGAGCTAAAGGGACGATGAGATTGGATGAGCTCTCTCGGTTAATTGAACTGTTTCTTACCATAGAAGTACTTCTGAAGAAGATGTTATTGCAGATTGACGAGAACAGCTTGAGGCTCTCCTGCAGTCGATTCTAAACAAGAGCACAAAATTAAAAACAAGAGCTGTCATTCCCATGAGATCCCATGATGCTCTCCTCTGTCACGTAAGGGAGAGGAGTCTGAAAAGCTGAGGTCAGTGCATGTGAATAATCTGTTTGTTGTATTAACACTTAGATTAACATTAAGTAAAAAAAAAAAGTTTTGTGTTAATACATTTTAATTTTAGAAAATTACATTAAGACATTAAATACTGTAAAATATTAAAAAACATTCTTTTGAGCATTAATACGTATTTTTCACCCCAGTCCATCAGTTAATGTCTTGTGAAGTGAAAAGCTGCATATTTGCTGTTTGGCCTCTCACTCCGACGGCACCCATTCACTGCAGAGGATCAATTGGTGAGCAAGTGATGTGATGCTAAATTTTTCCAAATCTGATGAAGAAACAAACTCAGCTACATCTTGGATGGCTTGAGGGTGAGTACATTTTCAGCAAATGTTCATTTATGGATGCACTCTTCCTTTTATACCACAATGTCCACAAAAGATGACAGAAAGAGAGAAAAAAAACGGCGAGTTCGGCTCAGTATAATGGCTTAATTAACAACTTAGTCCAGTGATGATTTTGCCCAGCGTTTCAAATCAACACAGTATGACTAACGTGGCTATAAAACGCATCTTAACAAGGGCAATTAGCGCACCTCATCACACGGAAAGAGGTTTACGGAGGGCGTACAATAAATAGACAGACAACAAGCAGACCACCGTCACCCACATGGACAACCTAAATTATGCCTGCTAGTTTAATTACCAAACGACATGGGCAATTATAACAGAGTCTGGGCTAACTGATGACTTGGGCTGTAATTACGATGGAAGATGGTATGTCTGGAGGCGAGGTTACCAAAGCAAGCTACGATGAATGAAACCACAAAGAGTGCCGTCTAAACGAGTGTAGACTCTTTCATCAGGTGACTGCAAAACCATGAGTCGTAAAACTGAGTTTATAACGAGATGGAGGTCCAGAACTTGAGAAGAACTCACTGATACTGGTCAAACCGGTGACGTAAAGTTAATGTCAATGTAAAAACGACTTTGGTAACATGGTGTATTTTAGAGCAAAACTGTAGTGAAAACTAGCCTATGAGAGGATGGAGGGGAGGGGCTAAAAATGAGAGGACTTGATGATGTCAGCAGAAATGGAAAGTCATTTCAGAGGCAAATTATCATCACAAAAGATTACTTGTTTATTTTTATTACACTCTATATATATTTTAATAGTTTTCAGTAAATGCAAACTTACTTAAACTTGATAAATAAAATAAACTAAAATGAAAATATTTTGCAAGGCACACTTAAAAACAAAACTTGTGCATGTGTGCTCAAATGACCTTTTTTTGGTCACATATGTTGGGCGTTTCGCGTCGTCTCTTGATCGACGACACTGACCTCCTCTTGAGCTAAAGGGACGATGAGATTGGATGAGCTCTCTCGGTTAATTGAACTGTTTCTTACCATAGAAGTACTTCTGAAGAAGATGTTATTGCAGATTGACGAGAACAGCTTGAGGCTCTCCTGCAGTCGATTCTAAACAAGAGCACAAAATTAAAAACAAGAGCTGTCATTCCCATGAGATCCCATGATGCTCTCCTCTGTCACGTAAGGGAGAGGAGTCTGAAAAGCTGAGGTCAGTGCATGTGAATAATCTGTTTGTTGTATTAACACTTAGATTAACATTAAGTAAAAAAAAAAGTTTTGTGTTAATACATTTTAATTTTAGAAAATTACATTAAGACATTAAATACTGTAAAATATTAAAAAACATTCTTTTGAGCATTAATACGTATTTTTATGTTACTACATTTTACAAAAACAAAACATCTTTTAATTATTTCAGATTTACTCAAGGGTATATGTATGTCAATATTTGTGTGCTTAAGAGCCTGTTTCACTATCTTGTCTACCTCCTCATTTCCTTCCACTCCAACATGAGCAGGCACCCATACAAATTCTGCTAGAATTCTCAGTTGCTGTATTCAGTACAAACTTTGCAGTACTTCTAATCAAATATCTTGTCTAGATTCTGATTTTCCCCTCAATATACTTGTGAGTGCAGAATATGAATCTGAACAGATTACCACTGTTGTTGATTGGATTTCTTCCACCCACTGTAAAGCTATCTGAATAGCGATCATCTCTGCTGCATATACTGATATATTATTAGAAGTTCTTTTTGCAGATTTATATTTAAAGTGAGGAATATACATGGCAGCAATTGTACGCCCAGTTTCTGGGTCTTTAGAACCATCTGTATAAATTTAAAAAAAAATTGAAAGTAATGACTATCTAAATGCTGCTGCACTATTGTCTCTTTGGGAACATATTTCTTGTTTTTGTTTATTAAATTAGATATCTGCAAATCAACTGTTGGCATAGAAAAAAACCAAGGTGGATATACTGGCAGAGCCACCGTGGGCTAATATCGATATTACTGATACATATTTGTTGAGCCTGCTTGCCTACTGTCCAGCCAAAACTATTCATATATGTCTGCTCATATTCCCAGCAGCTCTCCAATATTTTTTTT